CAATAAGTAATGCTTTTATAATGAATGATTGTGTGGGTGGGGGTTGGGGGATTTGTGTTTTTGTTGCTATTTTATCTATGTCGTGTGTAACTGTTAGATAAGGTGTCCCAGCATACAATCTACCAATCAATCAATGCCGTTCATACTCGTGTCTGACAACCCTTGACAAAATGGTAACTGGAGGTGTCGCAAAAAAAATGTTTTTCAAAACTGAATTTAGCTTTTTACCTTATTTGAACAAACTAAACTAAAGATACTGAAACAAATTTTTTAAGGTAACTTATTGGAATACAAATTAAAGGGATTGTAAACGTTTTTTATTAAAATGTCTTGCTCATTTTTTGCTTCAGAAACAATTGAGAAATTAACAGAATTTAACACTTTTTAGGCTAGAACATCGGTTTTATCTTCCACATTATTAATCAGATTAAGGTTTCAGTTGGGTACCGTTGTGAATCAGACATGAACCAGTTTTAATAAAGTGTCACTTAAAATTACGATGACAGTCCCTTTAAACACACTTTGTAGAATAGAATTATTTGTATTTATGTTTTCAGTAGAACTTAGTTTGGTTACTTGCATATTCTTATATATTGTTGTTTCTTTCTGTCATTAGTATTAATCCATCATCATTAGATATAACTCTTAATTTCATACCTGGATACATTTTTTACTTTTGTTTTGTGCCTTTTAATTTCACTGTTTGTTTTCTGTTTGTTTGTAACCAATTTTTTTAACAATGTATGTGCAATTTTTTGTTGTATACATTCTCTGTAATATTACTGGTACGAATTAGCTCTTCAAGAGTGTGGTTTGATATGATTTGAGATTTACATATCAGTAAATTCAAAGCTTTTTTATTCATAATAGCTCTTTGCTTTAGTTTGGCGTGAAAGTACAATACAATATGTATGTGACTGAGTTGGTATTTTTGAAATTATGAGATATTATATTGGCAGGGGTGGGGTAGGATGAAAGTACAATACAACATGTATGTGACTGAGTTGGTATTTTTGAAATTATGAGACATTATATTGGCAGGGGTGGGGTAGGATGAAAG